GTTTCCCCGCATTTCAGTACCGAAAGACAAATACGATATGCAAGAAAAACAAAGTTGCATGATATCCTTTGTTTAAGCATTTTTGATTTCCTCAGCCGGTTCGCTTCAATTCTTGCTTCTAGAATATTTACTGTGGGAAAAATACTGTAATTATCCGCTGACCACCACGCTGGGAGACCGCTTTGCAAGTTGTGAGAACATCGTTTCTCGGTCCCAGACTTCGTCTCTTCCCTCCCTCCCCCCCTAACCCTTCACCCTGGTTTTGGCTTTTGGGGTGTTTCCGGTCCACGATTTCCGGTAGCAACGGAACATCTGAAAGACGGTAGCCTGTTCTTTGTTTGGTGTGAGAAGGGTATGGTTTTCAAACAAAAGAAGCAAGGCTGATTTTATGGTCAGGAATATATTATATTTTTTGTTACCAATATTTTGTAAGGCACGGCCTCTCTTTTTCAGGGTCTTAAATAAATACAAATAAAAGAAATAAGAAAGTTCGGGTCTAGAACAGGGTATCATTTGTTAGACATGGTTACAGTTGGGCCAGACAGAGGAAACTTGAATGTACCCTCGAAAAATCAGCAAATTCGAATTTACCCAAAATCTAGTTAATAGCAAAAGAAAGCATCAACCTCAATATTTTCTGGAATACAGGGACTCTATAAGGATAAGGAGGGATTTTAAGAGTTTGGTCCAAGAAAAAAAGCTAAACTAGGTTTGCTACAGACTAAGGGTTCCAGGGTCCTGGCGACACATCTCCACGCAAAAATTCCAAAAGCATTCCCTTTTGGTATCTTGGGAGGTGGAGGGAGGGTGGGGGACGGTGGGAATGGTTGTCTTGTTCACAGTCAGAGAGATCTTTGTGCTTCTTGCTGTGATTAGATTATGCCTGCAATGCAGGTTTCTTTACACAAAACCAGCTCTAAAGAAAAACAGGCATTACTTGTTAAAACAGAAAAGAAATTTTTTGTTTGTTGTTTTTGAAAATACATTTAGTGCAGCTGCAAAGTTAATAGCCATCTAAGCAAGCGCGCTTAGATGGATATCATGGGCACGCAAAAAGAGATGCAACAGCCCCCCTTGACTTTGTCACTCTCTCATCCATTTCTCTCACCACTCATGTTCCTTACAACTTGAAATGGAGCTTCCTTGCAGGCTACAAAATATTTGTTATTTACTAAGATCAGGCAATAACAATGATTTGAGAATTGAGTCTGGTAAATATCATATACTTCAAATAATATTATTAATGTAGAAAATATTGGTTAATTATCACATCTAGTAACCGGTTCATCTAAGAGACAAATATGCTGTACTTAGTTAGACAAAATGATATTCATAATAATGGAGTGTACATCAGAAGTACATTTCATATTTAATTCTTAAATCCCTTAGTTAATAATAAGTGTAATAAAAACTAGTTTCAAAAATGTTGATGAAAAGTATAAAAACATTACAAAATCCCTACACAGGCAATTTTATATATCATATATTATATTGGAACTAAACGTGTTACCTTGATGCAAGGATCAAGCTTGGTGACAACAACTTACCTTTCCATGTAAGCACCTACAATAAAAAAGATGACTTTGCATTCCAGATCCTGAATTTTCCACATATGGACAGCAACATCCCCACCAAACTGGCCTATGGTGTTTATATATTTCAACTGGTGAGATACACATGCTAGGATTTGCATGTCAAAGGTGGACTTTGTTAATAGACTTTGCCGACTTTCTTTGCGTCTAAATCAACAAGGCTTTAAATCCAATCTACTTCTCAAATCCTTAAATAAATTCTTCAAGCACCACGGGGTTATCATCAACAAGAATCAAACTACACTGCAGGATATGAGACTGGCCATCAATGGCTAAATGGTGCTGCCATATCCTTCATTAACTTAATCCTCTTATTATCCTTTCAGCTAGTGTAGGTTGTGTCCCTCATGTTATTTAGATATGCGAGTGCTCTGTTGTGTATTTGAGGTGTGCATTTAGTTTATTACTTGACACCTTACATTTTCTTAGGGTTGTTTTCCTATTCATATACCTTGTTAAACTCATCAACAATAGATGAGCTTGTGGAAGGTGTCAGGAAAGATGGTGGAGCCACAAGCACAAGAGCCAAGCGTGCAGGGTAACCATGACAAGCTGGTGAGCAGCAACCACCAGACACCGCCACACTGAAAAACAGTGGAACAATGATACTTACCTCATACTTACCACAGAGAGGGAGGGAGGGAGGGCAGGGAGTTAACCGAAACAGGCAAGGCGCACTTGAGAATGAGTTGACCTCAAAAGCAGAGCTGTAAAATCATGCAACCCCCTGCAGGTCCCCGACAACTTTGTATGCCCACGACAGGGGAGGTCGCTAACTAGCATGGTTTCACTTTAACTTAGCTTAAATTACATTTAACCACGTTCAGTAACTGTGCTTACATAATTATTTGTGGGTGGCTCCTATAAAAATGTTCTACAATGGTATAGGATTTAATGGAGCCAACACCAATTGTGGAATTGCACACAATTTAGGCATTCTACTAATGAACAGTTATGACTTTTCGATATTTCGAGTAACAACAATTTGCCATCTGTTCTCTCTGAATTGAATATATAAAAAACCTGATGCTTGATTTCAAAAGAAAATTCCTTGGATATTTTTATTTTTAAGGCTAATTCTGTCATGCGAGCAAAATAGAAGGATCCCTAGGGGACCTAGCCTCCCACGCAGGCGTTTTTAGGGGAGCTCGTATTTCTTCCCTCCCCACAAACGCCTGCTCAACGGAAAACAACATTCCTTTCTCATTGTTTTATTTGCGTGGTAGGTGACCAATCAACAATTGTGCAATGAAGTGTTGACAGGCTAAACACGACTGAACGTGACCTTAGAGTTACCGTTTTCCTTCTTTTCTTTCCTTCGCTAAGGTTATGCAGTGCACGGAGTATTCTGAATTTTGACTAAAACTTATTTTTGCCGCTCTGAATCTAGCATTTATTGCAGGTCAGAAAGCTTTCCCAGTGTTTAATGAAGATCGAGTAATTATCAGATTACCTTGCGGTCAAGGTCAACTTTCCAGAATTTGGAAAGTACAATGTGATTGGCTAAGCTTGGGAAAGGAATGCTGTTTTCCGTTGAGCAGGCGTTTGTGGGGAGGGAAGAAATACGAGCTCCCCTAAAAACGCCTGCGTGGGAGGCTATAGGGGACCGTCTTCATTCAATTTAGATATTTAAAGTCACACCATTTCAGTCCGTGGGACTGCTTATTTAATACTGGTATATTATTGTTTTAGTTATCTTGGACCCAAGGTGTCCAGACATTTCCATACAGCTCAGGATTTGATGCAGGATCTGGGTCTGGGTAACGCACAGGAACTGCAGTAGCATTATAATCCTTGAGCCTTTGAATCAAAGAAGACACCATATCTGGATATATCCCAGACAGTTCATTTCTCTCTTCCGGATCTTCACGTATGTTGAACAAAAATGTGCTGTTGATGTTGTCTTGTAGATTTGGTGAAATATCAACAATTGGGTTGAAACTTTCAGGAGGAGGAACCCAACTTCCATTGCCTGGACAACCAGTCAATAGTTTCCAGTCACCTACTCGTATGGCAGCTTGTCGGCAGAATTTGTAGTGACCATGGTCATTGTTCCAGTCAGTATCCATGGGGTCAATATTATGCAGGATCTCCTTCCTCGGTGATGGTGCACCATTGCTCAAAGTGTCCCAAACATTGTAACCATCAAGAGGCATGCCAGCAACTGAACCACCAGCTAAATGAACAATTGTTGGGTACCAGTCGGTAACATGGATCAATTCTGAGCTCACCTGACCCGTTTTAGATAACAATTTACTGTAGACAAGTCCCACCCCTCTCATTCCACCCTCCCAAAGCGATCCTTTCCAGCCGCGTAAAGGATAGTTATTGCCGCCAGCATGAATCTGCCCACCATTATCTGTACTGAAAAAGAGCACTGTGTCATCCCACAAACCATACTTTTGCAGGGCTTTAGTTATGTTGCCAATACCTTCATCCATGCATGAGACCATACCAGCATAAGTGCGGCGAAAAGAGTCAGTTATATTTTTGTACTGTTCTTTGTATTGTTCAGGGACCTCCATCGGGCTATGAACTGCTTGGTAAGCCACAAACAAAAATAAAGGTGTGCTGGCATTATGAGCAGATATAATCTCCACTGCTTCATCTGTAAACAAAAACGTGGAATACTTCCCAGCAGCATCTCTAGCAACTTCTTCATTTCTTCTGAGGTCATAACCATTAAAATTCACAAACTTCTTTTTCCCGGGATATCCTTCGCTATTTTTGTGCGTGTAGTAATCTTCTCCTCCGGTCAAATAACCAAAGAACGAATCAAAGCCTCGCTCAGTTGGAATGAACTCTCTTTTATAAAATCCAATATGCCATTTGCCAACCATATGGGTGCTGTAGCCACTCTCTTTCATCTTTTGGGCAATAATGGTGTCATTCTTGGGTACTGCATTCGCCTGAGAAGGCCAAATTATTCCGTGCTGCAAACCAGTGTGGATCTGATATCTTCCAGAAAACAGCTGACTTCTGGTTGGGGTACAAATTGGTTGCACGTAATAATTTTCCAGTCGCACGCCATCGGCTGCTAAGCTGTCGAGGACTGGTGTTTTAAAACGCGGATTGTGATAGCCTACGTCGTTAAAACCAAAGTCATCTGCTAGAATAAACACAATATGCGGTGGTTTGCCTTGCACACTTTGCAAGCAGCAAATGAGAAGGAAAACGGTACCAAAAGCTGGAACACTGGCGCCCATGTCTTCGATCACGTTTCAATGGCAGCAGATGGGCGCATGATTAGAGCATGATATAGCCTAGCCTCCCTAACCCTCCCACGGAGACGTTCTTGGGGGTTCGTCACGCGTTCCTGCCAACGCGTGACGAACCCTAAGATACGATGACTACGTCGTGTAATATCACACAATTTCTCGCCTTCATTTGTGACGTTCGGTCAACAAAATGGCGACTGACGGATTTTTGTCGCATCGTTCTGATCGCTCTGCCACGAGTAGCTACCAAAGAACGGAACAAATTTCACTCTCAAGCTCTCGTGGATGGGGAAAGCAAGCAGCTCAAAGACTGAACACAAAGGATCAATTCAAAAACGACCCTCTTCTTCGAACTTTGGAAGGAAAAATTGCTGTCAATTTCGGTGACTACAAGCCATGGCAACGGACAAATTTGTCAAAATTTCCCAGGGAATCCACAGGTAAGAAGAGAAGTTCTAGTCGCCCTTTATCTGGACTGACTACAGCGTCCGTTGGAAGTGGTCCTGCTTTTGCAAGGGAAGAAAGTATGAAGATGCCAGTTCGGCCTTTCAGTGCTGCCACAAGCACGGCTTGTTCAACGGTTTGTAATCACCCATGGACAAAGAAACCGCCTCCAGTGGACGATGCTGAGGAGAAAAGGAAGCAGAATTTATTAGCGATATTAAAGGTAATGGCATCTTAAGTTCAGGTCCTCTGCTTCGTCTCAGATGAAACTTAGTAAACCAATTTATTAATAGTTATATTTTATTCCACCCCCACCCCCGTTTCCAGCCTACAAATCAGTAGAAATCTAGTACAGTGGAACCCCGCCATAACGAAGTGCCACGGTACCAAAAAAATTGTTCGTTATTGCAGGGTCTTCACTACAAATTTTCTGGTTAACAGCAAAGATATTAGTTATAGTGGGTTAAAAATTTAGTAAAATTACAATAGCTAAAAATTCAATACTGCTATTACAAGATAAAGGCTGGTTTTCACTAGCGACGGAGTTGGCGTCGGAGTCACAATCAGAAGAGTAGAGCTTATGATCTAGTGAAAACAGCATTCTACTCAAATATGTTGTCTTTACTGACTGCTGGGAGCAACTGGACGAAATATTCATTACAGCAGGGTAAATTGTGCGTTGGGACCGTCAAAATCTATTCGTTGTAGTGGGGATTTCATTATAGGGGGGTTCGTTTCCACATATTTTACTGTAATTCTTCCAGGCTTTCAGTTGTTTTTCATTAAAACAGGGTCTTCGTTGTAGCTGGGTTCCACTGTAACTTGTTTACTGAGGGCTTGAAAAAATATGTAACCTTGATGGGTTGAAATCTGAGCCCTGCGGCTAAGAAAATTTGGTTCTCTACCCATTTGAGACATTTTGGTAGTCACATGCCTGTTAACATCCGTCTGACCTTCCATCTGTGCGTCCACCCTTGCCTAGTCCCTTGGCCTCATTATGGGTGGCCGATGCGTTTTGGGTCAGGTGGTCCGTTTCTCTCGGATACGTCACCGAAATGCATTGACCGAGAGGGCCTGGAAAGATGCCGTACAGGGACTAGGCGATGTCTACCCATCAGTTCGCACCACAGGATTACCAATGTGAAATTTCACACTTTTTAGCTAGTGTTGGAGCCTGCAACCTGATATTGCACATCCATGTTGTGGTTAATTGAAAGCTGTCAAAACAGGGTATCCGCTGACCCAGTTTCACATGAAGATATAGCTGGCTCAGGTATCAAACCATCAAGGTTACGTTTTTTTTTGAAGTTATTCCCTGACTAGTTCCTAGTTTTTAACGGATCGCAGGCCAAACTTCAAGTGGATTTCCTTGCACTGGTTACTAGTTCACTGTTGGAAGTGAATTCTAAATTTATAAATGGAAGCTTTACTTTAAGCCTTGGATAAATCTACATATCTAAGTAGACCCTTAAAGCAACAGCCTTCTATAACAGCAAATAAAGTGACTTTTGTCTTAACAAAAATAGTATTGAATTTTTTCTACATCAGATTCAGATAAAAACAAGACAGAAGTCCATAGCAGAATATGAAAATAGGAAGAGAGAACTGTATCCTTTTTGTGTGATATTAAAAAATAATATTACAGTAAGTGCTCGAAGGGTGGGGGCACTCAAGAGAAGCTTTGGTAGAGGTATGACACTGAGGCTCTCAAATCCTGACCCTTTTTAAGACAACAATCTTGCATTTTTTTCAGCTAGGACAAGAGACCTAATTTCATTTCCCTTAGTCATCTTTTTTCGCATGCAAAATTGACTATTTTTCTTTTAAACTTACATCATGGAATTTGAAAAAAGAGAACATTGTAGGCACCAGACATATAGACTACCCATCAACAACCTTCATACTCTTTTAAAGGCTTCTATATTCCAAGGAGACACCCTATTCAAGACACTCAAGAGTGAAATAATAATTATATACCCTGTTTAAGACTCAAGACTCTAAAATTCACACCCTGTTCAGTGGCACAGACCCATTAAGGCAAAATAGGGGGATAACCCCCCCCCCCCTTCTCCAAATGCACACACACATACACCCTGGAACAGTGTAACTGTATAAGAAATAATCTGATTTTATAACCCAGCCAAATTGATCATGTGTATGATCACAAAATCTTTCTATTAGAATGCTACGTCATATTGATTTTCACCCTTGTGCAAGTCAAATAAATGTAAACTCAAGTTAAGTTTTCCAATACCATCATAGAACTTAACACAATTATGTGCATGTAAAACTTCATATAACTTATATTATTTCTTTGCACAAGCAACAGAGTTTTTTACCATTTGTGTCAATTGCTGACATAAGCACTGTTTATGCACGAGTCCTTGACTGTGAAAATAGACTGTTAGAGAACATGAAAGTGGTTGATCAAATGGAATCTTCTGAAAATCAGATTGTAAGTTTAAAAAGGATGTAAAACATGATTTGCTAAATAAATTCCTGGATTGAAGTCTTAGGTAAATCTTAGGTGTATGATTGTGGCATTCAAGTAACATAATTAATACGCATTTCTTTTAATTTAATGTCCAGGGCCTAATAATAATAATAATAATAATAATAATATTCTTTATTTCTTAAGATAGAATCACATATCCTAAGTTACAATTTAAACTCAAAAAACTATTTACATATCATATCTAAAAATTATTCTGTTACTAAAAACGTTCTTAAACCTGTCAGTGTAGATTCTAGGGACAGAGACTGACGTATTTCTAAGATTGTACCTCATGTTCTTTTCCTTAGGTAAAAACTGGAAGAACGGACATTCGGGGTCATTCGATCTTTTTTTGTAGAGTGTCTTGTCCGCCTTCTCTAGCAAATCCCTGATAATTACATTCATGGACATAAACTTTCTTTTCATACACTGGTCTAAAAAATTCTGTATTACAGAAAGGTCGGAATCTGAGGCACCATAAACCGGCAGAGCGTAAGAAAAATTTGGTAAAACTATTGCGTTAAAAAGGTGATCTACTTCCTCCTGAGACCTGGGAAGATGGTCAATTTTAACCCAGGATTAAGCAAAATTTTAAGAACTGTTTTCTTGCCAAAAGCGTGTAACTTAAGCTTACAAAATACTGTTGAGCCTCTACTCTGCGACACAATGATTTACCCAAAATGTTTCTCTAAGCAATGCATAGGAAATTAAATAACAAAAGTGGAGCAAAAATATCTTAATCCTGGATAGCGCTAATTAAATATTAAAAAGCTTAGTTCTGGTTAGAAAATGTACAATCCCTGGTTACTTTTATGACAGCCCTGAATCTTTCTTCAAGGAAAATCAATAAGGCAAATTTAAACCAAATTAAAAGAAGTTTCAATAATAATTGGAACAGAGCAGCCAAAAAATTAAGTTAATTTTCTTTTTTTAATGACCATACTTAACACTATAAACTTATACAATAACAAGTTACCTACATGTAGTTAAAGCTTCCTAGTGTTAAAACTTACCTGCAATATATATTTTATGTTACAGCATGGAGATGTTAAAACATTGCTTCAAAAATATGAAAGATTTAGAGTAAGTATATTTGTTGATGTTTCCAGCAATGCCTCTTTTTTTGCCTGCTTGAATGCTCAGCAGTATTTGATTTCAGACAAGAATATCTGGGTTAATTAAAGACATGATGTCACATTACTAATGGTAGCAAGATCTCTAGATCACAACAAAGGGAGCTTTAGCAACGATGACAGCTACTGTAACAGCATCAAGAAAACCAAAAATTAAAAAAACAATGTGCATCGTGCAGCCATAGTTGCACGACTGCGACATGAAACTTCCTAATTTCATGCGCCCGCTTTATGGAGTAGGTGGACACAGCACAAATTAAACTTAGATACAGTCCTTTCTTTCTCTAAATTTTGGAAATCCAAATTGCTGCTACTTCTGAAACAATATCGTAATATTTTTAAGATAACTTATGAAAATGGAAGGTCAATTAGCATCATCAGCAGTTTGACTTTTTCGAAACACATAAAAATTATTACCGATACTAATTATAGGAAGCTACCAAATGAACTCAATCAACCAATAAAATGCCATGCGCAAGTCAATACTTAGATGTTTAACTATCTGATCTGAGAAATATTTTGACGGAGCTGTATCTTCATTAGTTTTCAACAAATCACTTTCAAACTTGGCAACTTTACTAATTATTTTAAGGTGTTCTTTCCAGCCATGTTAGTGGATTTTGTCTAACTGATTCAAGTCAAAAGTTGAAAAAACCGTGGAAGTGTCTATCCTTCATCAAATATTGTATATCTTGTCTCTAGGGTGCCATGTCAACACTAAATGAAAAGTTTGGGGAGGATCTTGTTGTTACAAAGAAGAGACTTGAAGAAACAAGGATGCTGGTCAATAAGGAAATTGCAGGTGCATTAAAATTAATTTGAAATAGTTTCATCCTGTAAAAATTATAAGAAATTCAAATCACTGAAAAGTCCGGATTTTGTCACTACATTATTTTATACTACCAGAGCTTGCTCACAAACTTAATACCCTTTTCATCCCAGATAAATGATTCTTTTCACCCACATGGCCAGTAGCAATGCAAATTTTTTGGAACAAAAGAAAGTTATTACATAAGAAAAAACGGTCTAATGCCTTCAGGATTGATTTGGGACAACAACATGGCCCCCTGTATCACAGGACACCAATATGGCAGACGGGACATTATGTGACAATGTTCTATAAGAATTACACGTCACAGGTCTGTGACTTGTTTCCCATCCCCTCCCCCACCCCCACATGTACCATATATTTATTATTAGCAGCTATATTCTTGAAGCTGTGCTCTGTCCCAGAGGGTGGGGGGAGCTCCTTTGGAATCAAATGACAAAACTGATCAAAAAGCTAAAGGATTTGGGGGGGGGGCACCCAGGATTCTTTTGGGTAAGAGAATTTGGCAAGTATTTCTTTGTGTCTTGATTTATGTAAGGATTTTGTGGTCCATTTAAAACAATATGAGCAAGATAATTCATGGAAATGCATGCATATCCTGACAGCATAGTTATTTCTTTTATTGTGGCTTATATAAGAAGTTAAGTTTGAAGGTTTTTTTTTAGTTCATACATGTGCATCATGTCAATTCTTTAAGGTTTCAATGTTATTTTTCCTTTCAGAATTGCAGCTCCAACTGAATGTTATGGACAAAAAACTAATGCAGAAAAATGAAGAAATGAATATCTTATTAAACTACAAGGTAAGTGAAAGGGGGGAAATGGTTCTGAGTTTTCATTCTCATGACAATACACAAGTCGAGAGATGTGAATTATTTCTTTGTACAAAGTATCTAAATAAGATAATTTATGACTTTTAAGCTCTTAAACATACTATCGTTAGCATACTATCTTAAACATTACTATTGTTAGCATTCAAATGAAGAAAGATATTAATGATCTATTGTTTTAACTAAATGATATTATGCATCAGTCAGCGGCTTCCCCTGGGGCCACCACCCGGGGGGGGGGGGGTACTCCCATACATTACCTATACGGGTATGTGCCGCCCAAAGGGGTCGTGATTTTGAAGCTCCTGGTTTAGAACGGGGTATCCATTTCAGACGCGGTTTCTAGAACGGGGTATAATATTTCGAACGCATGAAAGCTCTCCACTTTTGTAAGCAGCCATTTGAAAGCATTCAAGGACAGATTGCTTTTAAAAATACGGTTCAGTGCGTTAACAAGCAAACCGTTGTACTCTTGTTACACCCTAGAACAGAGTATAAAAATTGGCCCATTTCTAGAACGGGGTGTTAGTTTTAGGGCGAATTCTAGAACGGGGTATAAAAAATTGGCCTATTTCTAGAACGGGGTATCAATTTTAGGGGAAATTTTTTCTAGAAGGGGATGCCAATTTGGAATCCCGGGCGGCACATACCCACCCAAAAAATACCCAAGTGCCCCCCCCCCCCTGGGGGCCACCGCCAGGACACCCACAGGAACCCAAGGGCATTTGTCGAGATTGTCAGATATTTGTTGCCCTAGGGTGTAGGGGAAACTATCCCTTTTGTTCACAGAGATTGCACTCCAGGGGGCAGCAGTGGGGGTACTCTCCTACAAAAATGATGTGGGTGCTTGTCGTACTTTTGAGGTATTTAAATCTGTAGACTGGTACCACTTAGGGTGCTAGAACCTAAAATGACTGCTGCCAGAGTTGTCTCGGTAAGACTTATGACAAAACTTTCAAAACATCCTTGAGAGGAAAGTGTTCGAAAGTTATCTTTATTTAATACTATTAAAATTTGCAGTGCCAGTAATGTTATACAATTTGTTGCTGTTGAACTGGTACCTGTTTAGGGCTGGAAATGAATTTGGAACACGCCCATAAAACAAGATTCTGGTACCTTTTAGGGGTGTTCTTGAAATATTCTGACGAGCACCCCCGTTACTTTTTGGGGGGGAGTATTCTCCCCTTCAGGCTTGGGGCCTCCAAATTATAAGTCCAATGCTCTAAACACTCAGCCGTCTGCTCCCGTTTCATTGACAGGACAAGGAATATCCTGCCAAGGCTCTTCAGATTGCAAAGTTGAAGAGACAACAGGAAATTTTAGCATCAGCTTTTAAGGTTAGTGCTGTACATATGTACCTGCCAGCTAGACTGTTCACAGTTCCCTGTTTTTCTGAACATTCATGGAAGATAGTCAGGATTGGTATTGACTCTAACTTGGGGATGAGTATAAAATGTACTTAGAGGGCAGGGGGCAGTCTGGAGGGATGCTGTTTTTCTCACCTCCTCCCCCCCCCACCGCTATTAACCTTATGGCCTACCTCCTCGGTACATTTGAAATCAAGATGGCTGCCCATAGCAGTAAGCACTTGATCTGCACAATCTTAAGGAATACTAGGGGACTGTGAACAGTCTACCTGCCACCTATTTTTTTAATCAAAGGGATGATGGCTTGTAATGCTTCCGGTTTCTGTAAAAGTTTTTTTTATGGGACAGGGTCGTTAGACCTATGTCCAGTCCTCAACCTGGATGACCAGAGGGTCACAGTTTGTCTGGTCTCTACACTTCAACCTGTTCAGCATAGGTGGCCCCTACTGGGAGTGCAAGATGCCAGTCAATGTATTTCTAGGGGTTATTAAGGCATGCAAACTGCCCCAAGGCCTTATACACCTATTGGCGCAACAAGAAATGATGATGATGATGATGGCTTGTAAGATCACCAAGACACCCTTCAGATGACAATCATTCTTAAGGCGATGTTACACGGGATGATTCTCAACCCTAGGGGGGAGGGGGGGGGGGCTCGGCGTATGAAAGGGGTGGGGATGCTCGTCGTCTCGCTTAGGGATGTAAATTTCGGATTTTGGTCTCACTTAGGGTGTTCTGGACAAAACGCCATCATATTTAGCAGTGGAGGTCTCGTTTAGGGTTGCACGCGAAAAAGTATAAAAATATATATCTGATATGTATATTTTTTGGTCTCTTTTAGGGGTCAAAAAAAGCTTGAGCCACGCCCAGATCGGTCTCCTTTAGGGGTTTAATTCAAAATTTCCGACGAGCATCCCTATATGCAGAGTCTCCCCAGGATTCTCAACTAGCCTGCTAGCAAGCTCTCCATTTATGGCGAGCGAAGCAAATCGCGAGTCAGAGAATCCGCCCCTCACACTCACATCTCCTTTCGCGTGCTGCTCTCGCATGACTTCTCGCGACTCCCTCAAATGGAGAAGTTGCTTGCAGGCTAATTCGCAACAACGGTTTTTAGCACAACACCGCATTGCAACATTGTTGCGACATTGGTTTGAGTAGTTACAACGTTGTTTCAACATTGCAACGCTGTGTTGTGCTAAAAATTGTCGCTGCGAATCATACAATGGAACATCACCTTTACCTAGACAACCATTGATGGTATCATTCAACGATAATAATTTACCAGACTTGTAATACGTTGCATTATGCTAATATCACATTCATTTGTGTCTGACACATAAACTCCTCTGATCCCTGTTGTCAGGGGCGACTCGGAAAAGGCCTTTTTCAAAATGTTTATTATTATTGATTTCAAAATAGCTCTGAGATCATGATTTTAGTTTGCTTCTTTCTCAGGAAGAACTGGAAGAGTTACAGGCTGTAGTTGACGCTGAGAGGGAAAAATTTAGTCATCAGAGAAAAACTGTTCAAAGGGAAATTACGACACGAGTGACTGAGGTACAATTTGTCTATTTTATTAGCCCACTTCAAGGCATTTTTCTCGCCAGTTTTTAGGTAGTTTAACGCGTGTAGTCAATGTTGACAGACAAATCATCGAAAATGCTCTGACTTGTCCTTCACAAGCCAGCTTTTACACACTGTGACAGCAATGAGCTAGTTTTCCTACCCCCTTCGCCCCAACCCCCCTCCCCAATTTTCCACATTTTCTTCCTACTGATAATTCGGCATTTTGTCCTTCTCGAAGTGATCTACTCTTCTTTTTTCAAACTGAAGAGGGACTTGAAAGAAATTTAAACTTGAACTGGAATTGAACCCAAGTTGTTGCAAAGATGCTTAGCTTTTTAGTGAACACTTTGTCATACTAATAAAATTTGATAGGTGAGAATTCTCGCAATTTTACTAATTTTACTTTTTTTACCTTTTTTAAAATTTTGCTCTGATTTTACCGGTCTGAGCAGTATATTCGAAGCTATCCCTACAGATACCTCTGATATGAACATGAACCTCCTTTCATCTTGGTCCCAAAGATACCAAACTTCATACAATCCCTACATTTATTACAATACTACGGCGTGAAGATACAAAGGTTTTGTCGCTATAATGATCAGTAAACAGGTAACGAAAGTTAAAGGGAAAAGTTAGCCACGTGCTACGGTTGATGCTGGCCGTATGCCTAAAGCGTGATACTAAATCTCTCCATTGACTATATGATATGTAATCCTCATAATTTCTTTGCGTATTCCATTCTCGATTTTTCTAGGATACAATAAATGCCATGGGGGATGATATTAAAGAGATGGCTTTGCAAAATATGATCATGAAAAAGGTAAGTACTCGCGAAAGTTCTCCTTGTCGGATTTTGTGAACTGATGCGATGTGAAACGTCAACATCCCCTGGGCAAGCCCCCTCCCCCCTGGGTATTTGAACTTTTTAAAACAGGCCTTTTCAAATTCCCATGATTCCCGACTCCCCGAGCACAAGTGATGATCAAATGCCCGGGGTTTGCCCGGAGGGATGGTAAAGTTTCGAATCGATCGACACATAATCGTTATTTTAAATGTAAGATGAGAAGATTTATTGTTTTTTGACAGGAAGTAGAAATTCATCGAAATGAAGTAAAGTTGCTGGACGCTAACAATACCAAATTAGAAGCTGAAATCAGGTGAATGCTATGTCAGTTTGTTTTTGAGATCCCTTTATTGGCTGTTTGATCGCTGCATCCACCGTTCAGTATATTCAGAGAGTTTTTTCGAAAGATGTCAGAAAATAAAACTACCTATTGTCTAAAATAGTCCATCATTCGCACAGCGATAGTCTTGATTAGTCATGCCTTGAAGTGGGGTCCCGTCTACACGCATCCGCTTTTGTTTGAAAACGAATATTTTTTTCTCCTTTTTCAAAAAAATCCGCGTCCTCACGTTGCAATTTTGAATCGTGTACAGCAAAACGGTATTTTCAAAAGTCTCCACTCGGGAAAGCGTTTTTGAAAAGATGGGTTTCGGTGACCGTTTTCAACGAATATGTGTAGACGGTAGACCAAACCGGAGAAAAACATCTCCGTTTTCTCGGTTACAGTGTGAACATGGGTATCAGGTCGTTTCGCCCGAAGGTCGATTCGCCCGATAGCAGTTCGCCTAGGCTAAGTCGATTCACCAGATAAGTATTTGTCGTTCTTTAAGGCTGAAAAAAGGAATAAGCATGGAAAGACAGTGACTGCACGTGTCCTGCACATGTGGAATCCAAGGTTAACTAAAATAACATCTCGGAGAAGTAGGTTCACCATGTTGTAGAGTGTTGTTTGTCATGAGCGGTTCGACTTAAGTCCTAGCGAACGCCTTTGGGCGAAACGACCGCAATTCTGAACAGGTACAGTGGAACGTCGATTAAACGAACATCCATATAGCGAAGTCCTCGATATAACGAACGATATTCCTAGCCCTAACAATAGTAAAATAGATGGAAAAGAACCTCATATAACGAAACCTCTTTATAGCGGACATATTTTATCATTCCATTTAGAAGTTCCACTGTATTCGGACCGTAGCGGAAGTGAATAAGTAGGAGCGAGGACTGGAAATCTACTGAGACGAAAATAAATATTTAGGAGTGATGACTGTGGTTTGTTCACTAAACCCTCCCAGCCAACCGCTCCGGTGCAATGTTCGATGTATGTCAACGACAGTTCTATGAAGGCTTTTCGTACCGTCACGAAAGGCTGTCCGGTATTGTGAGTGAACATAGCCTAAACGGCTCGTGCTCCACCCAAGGTTGTCAACTTCCCTTGTGAAATCATAGCATGCATTTCTTTGAACGCATTATAACTTTGTGTAAAAACTTTGCAGAGAGATGCTGGACAGCCAAGCATTGAATACACAAGCTCAAATATTCCCTGAAGTTTTCGGGAAAAGGGAAAAGTGAGTATGTTACAAAACAAAACGGACTACAACATGATGAACAGCATTAAGTTGTGTTGACAGTAATTCGCGCCTCACTTGGTTCATTATGATTGATCTATCGTCTTGCGCACGACTTTCTGGACCCATCGTGACTCGCTCGCACGTTTTAACTCGTGAATACCCGCTGCCCGAAATGAAAACGATATATCTTCGTTGTTGCCGAAGTGTCGAAGTGCTCTGAAAGTAGAGATGTACAGCCGCGCGAGAGGTAAAGTGAGATCAAAGATAGGGGAGAGGCGAGAGAAACAAGGCAGAAAACCTCGGTTCTACTTTTGCGCAGCTGTATATCTTACTTAAGGTACTACCAACGAAAAACACCATAAAAAATCCCGCAATCTTGGTATAACAATAAAACGGAGTAACAAAAATATGGAAGCTACTGATTACGCAAGATAAACCATACACGGTAGCTGGATTTTTTAGGGGGGAAGTTAAAATAAATATCTATTTCATTGCGTCAATTCTCTATTTCAAAACAAGGTATTCACGAGTTTCCCATGATTTTAACTTTGATTTTTCTTTCTTTAGGTGTACACCGGATATGGAGCTTCATCTTGACATACCAACACATGACTGGCTGCCAATATAACATCTCGACCTTGCTGTTTACAGAGAAATTTAAAATTTATAAAAGATAATTTACAGCTGTAGACAATGTACATAAAAACTAGTATTTAGTTGTGGAAACAAGACACAAAGACCACATTAGGGCCATTTATACGAGGAAAAATAAGACGCGTCTTACATAAGACGCGAACTGTACCATTTATACGAGCATGTCTTATCTAATAAGACGCGTCTTAGCTAAGCCGCGTCTTATTTTAGACGAAATGTGCCGTTTATACGGAAACTTCGCGTCTTATTTAAGACGCGTCTTATGTAAGACGCGTCTTATTTTTCCTCGTATAAATGGCCCTATTGTTATCGAATCGTGTTGATAAATATCCCTTGGAAGTATTGAAGAGTGATTTAAAGTTTGTTTCATGAACTCTCCCAAAAAAGTAACAGTTATTTGTTTTTTGTATATTATTTATTACTTTAATATCATTTGTTACCTGTTGTTTAAATTAATTTTATGCCGCTTGTAAAAACAAGTTTTGTAACGAGGTTTAGTGGATAAAGAAAAAACAGCAGTGATTAAAGTGGTAGTTTTTTTTAATACCAGTGGGATTTTCTTTTGATTATACCTTAGTCTGCTTCCAAGCTATCACGGGACGGGTAATGAGTGGAAAATGTTCTTTTCAGGGTTCGTACATCTACATTTATTAATTGACAACGCTTTCACATCAAGTCGATGTACAGATCATGGAATACCTGGAAAGTCATGCATTTCACTTTCCAGGCCTCGATAGCCTGCGTTGACAGTGACGGATCCAGAGCTTCAGATAGGGGGGGGGCGGTCACCCAGACCCTGAGATAAGGGGGGGGGCGGTCTTAAAAAAAAATTTTTCGGCCCTTCGGGCCTCAGTTTGGTCCAAAAGTAAGGGGGGGAGCCGGCCTCCCCCGCCCCCCCCTTTGGATCCGCCACTGGTTGAAGCCGACCCTCCCATAGTCTAGAACATTGGTACTGCGGTTTAGAGTGTCTGCGTCGGAGGCGGGGCCTCGAAAGTCATGGAATTTATTTGTCGGTCGTTGAAAGTCATGGAAAATTAAAATTTTGTTTGGTAGATTTGTTACTGCAGCGGACAAAGCAAGGACAGTGTAAGGTTGAGAGAATTAATGAACAGCGCGAGCGGCACCGATTTTGGTAGACAGCAGAGTTTGTATCTGTTGAACTGTTTAAGGTAGAAAAAATACGCTAAAATAAGGACAATTTTGAAAGTGACAGCTAAACTCGAGGTCATGGAAAACTTGAAAAACTCATGGAAAGTCAAGGAATTTGAAGAGCTGAGAAGATTATGGGCCACGTCTTTGGTCTGCCCCATGGAGCTCTGTTTTGGGATGATGGATTCACACCAGAGCTTTTTTGCGCTTGAAGTGTACGTCAAGACAAGTGGACATGAGATATACTTTGGAAAGAAGATTCAATAGATTTTCAGGCATGACAGCGCACAGGTAAAACAGAAAAGTGGTTTTTGTATGGAAATCCTAAGGTTTCTAAATGGTTGTTAGGGGCGTAGCCAGATATTCGACTAGTTGCCGTAGGCCTGGCTGACTTTCATTTCCACACATCCTGAAAAATGCACACGTGACTAGTACGCACTGACTTCACCAACACTTTGAGCTCTTAAGCTTTTTAGCTCACCCCAATAACGCATTATTTAATACAAGCGGTAGAGTGATCGAATCAGCCCAGGGAATCAGCATTCAGGTCTTTGGGCTGGCTACGCCCTTGGTTGTTTTTCACATACTTTTTCATCTGTTATTATTATCTTTTTGCGGGAATTACATTTTAGGCTCCTGGTCACCTGGCCTGACCCTAGCCTGTGTTCAGACGCCCCCTCCCCTCAGCAAAAAATCGGGAAAGGGCCCCCTTTCTCGAGGGAAGGGGAGATCTGTACACAGGCCAGCTGACCGTTGTCCTTATTTGTAATGCGCAGGATGCCACGTGAGTTCTTACATGACCCAAAAATTGATATTACCCATAATTCAAGGCGCGATATCGGTTCTTGTCCGCCATCTTGCTGGATTTTGGCTCTTCGGCGACTTGTACAATGGCGGGTTTACTGCGAATGAGTGCTTTACCACGCGTGTATTCTAGACTGTCTTGCAGGACAATTCAAACTTCGGCTGCTCGTCAATATAAGCCGGTCCCAACAACTAGACCAGAGTACGCGTCTGAATTAGAAGCTCTTCAAGCGAAGGAGAAAGGACCTTGGAGTGAGCTTTCAAAGCAGGAAAAAGTCGATCGTAAGTTTTTATACGTTATTGATTCCTGCGATAGATTATATTTAGGATAGATTTACGTACTTGATGAAAATTAAACAAAATATATTTATATACTTGGTGAAAATTTTTTACCGAAGTGGAGTTACTCGACAGGAATCAACCTTGATTATTTTTCAATTTTTCCACCATTTAGTATACAGATCCCAGTTTGCAAAGACTATTCCAGAGTCTAAAATACAAGAACCATATGCAAAGAAAGTGGTTGGTTTAGTATCAGCAGGGCTAGCAGTATCTGTGGTCTTCTTTGCATTCCTCAGGAAGTATAGTAAGTTATCTTGTTAGCCAGGAGGTACAAATATATTGTTAAGCTGATATCTGTTTTCTCACGTAAGAAAAATAGGAGCAAATGTGCAAGCACCTCTCGGTCAGGTACATGTTAAGTGAAGTGATGCACTAGTTACCTTTTTTTTTCTGGAAGGACGATCAGCACTGCATCTATTTTGTAGAAAGGTGCAGTCTGCACTTGCCACTTTTAAAACAAGAGGAACTGGGTCAAGTTAGCTTTCGCAAGGACTTCTGGTAGTGGTGCAATGATCAGTCGAATTCTCTGTTAATTGCGATTATGACTATTCATTTCGATTCTCGATTCTTTGCTTCCATGTTTCGATTTTGGCTCGATTTTTGCATACCTTTTCCAGGGTGCCCTCAGTGAGTTATTATATTGTAAAATCAGAATCTATGACTCTCTAAAAACATTTTTGATAGACGAGGAAAGACGATTGCAATTCTTGCGCCCTTTTTGTGTTTCCTGGTAAAAATATTGTTCTTCAACCACTCCTTAAGAATTTCCAAATAAGGCAAACCATGTGGGACAAGCTCTTTGTCAGGTTCTCAAACGTGGCGACAAACGACTAAGCGACTGTGAATCCTCCTTCCCCTGTTACTATTCTCAAATTGAGGGTTTAGGGTTGCATGTTGTTTACATTACATATTATGTTATAAAAATTAAAGGACATTTACATAATCAAATTGAAATAATCGAAATTGAAAGGCAATAACTGAAATCAAATTGAGTCACAAGGAACATGAATTGTCACACCTGTAACTTATGGGATCGTTACTGGGGATGCGCTGGTCAGCTCTTGGCCAATTTTTTCCCCATCCCCAATAACAGTCCAAGAAGTCTTTGCAAAAGTTAACTTAGCTCAGTTTCCTTCCCACTTATTCAGTGGCAAATAAATATATTGATCTCAGTCAAAGGTTAACTCCATTAAACCTCCCCATGATGGTCACCTCCTCAACATAACCACCATAATATACCATGACCATAAACTTTTCTCCTGGACACCATTCCATACATATATATTTTATGTTAAGTTGCAATGGCAACAGGCATCGTTGGATTACCCTGAACAAGAAAGTGCACTTCCAATAAATTCCATGTGATGGCCACATGGCTATGGCAAAGAGGTGTTATTTCCTCAAGGCAGTCCATTTATACCAACTCGCATGAGAATGTTGAGAAGGAGAGGCTGGAGTTAAACCTATCATAATGGACATTTTTGATTGACAAACATCAACTGGAAGTGAGGCTTTTTCCCTTTAAAATTCCTTGACGCTACCACATTTGTATTGCTAAGTGGCTTTAGTCTCATTTAGACGATTTGCCCAAAAATGCAAAAGTCCTCTTCTGGTTGCCTTTGCCTAAGCTCCCTGTTAATAATAGTGGTGCAATAAGATCTACACAGCAGACATTAAAGATTGTATCTTTGCCTTTGACCATCTCTATAAGGCAGACATCTCTCTAAGACGGACACTTGTTGTTAGTCCCAAAGGTGTCCATCTAAGAAAGAGTTGTCTGTACTTCCAAGAAATAGTGAGATCTTTGCTGTTGCTTATGGTTCTAACATTTTATTGTCAAGTTTTATCAGAACACTGTTGAAACAAGTTAATACTTTTTTCTTTCCTTTATCAGTTGGTCCAGAAAAGCCTCGCACACTCACACCCGAGTGGCAAGCAGATTCTGTCAAGAAAGCAAAGCGGCTGAAGTCAAATCCAATTTCTGGAATTGCTTCTGAACCATAAAAGCGCATTAAAAAGTGATTCCTTTGTTAACATGCTGTAATCCAATTATTGACATTGCAGTTATTTTTATTAAATTTTTGGGCTTCTTCTGTAAGTTCTGTTGTGTGTTAGGTAATTGTGTAAATAAAATCACTGCTGACTCTTAATTTTTGGGTGAATGTTGTTGTTATTTTTCACTGTCTCTTTAATCTTAGGCAGGCTTATTAGATATGAAGGTTGTTTGGTCTTACACACAGTTACCCTTATGAAGTATGAAGGTAGATTCTACAAAGGTCTAGTTCACAATGCTACCTTTTGATGTGGTAACTCCATTAAACCACCAACCTCTTTAAATGTGCACACATACATACATACATACATAAACATACTTTATTTAGAGGCAATGAAAACGAAGTTACAAAGATCAAGAAGCAAGTAGAAATTTATGAGATACATACAGCATGCTCCCAGTGATGCCTGTTATGCAGGCTAGAAATAAGCTAAAAGAATACCAGTAAATGAAACTATGTTAAAGTAATAACAAATAATTTTTATGCAATAATTTTAACGATAACAGGCCTGAGTGCCAATATTGTTTAAAACTCTATCCAGTGGATAATGCAATTATAATGGTTTCAGTGACATTTTATTCAATGGATACTGATTTATCTGGTGAATAGTATTGGCCTCTCGAACAACCAGTAGCACCCTGATTTGGCAACAATGGAGGCAGTAACAACTTTGATACACATGTGTTTCAAATTATATCTGGTGACAAAATGAGTGCATTGTTGCACTAAAAATCAGCTCAGGGTCCAGGCAATGTTGCCTTTTCTCACTAGTAGCAAGTTATACATTTGACACCTTTTTATGCTGAATTGGCCATGGTCTGGGACTTGGGAATCTAACATTTAAGTTTGCAGACCAGAAGAACGAATAAACTTACTGCCCTGATAAATAATGTAACTGTCATGAACAAGGCAGTCAGTGATGAGGTATCACCATTATAAGAGCATACCACAAGAAAAATATAACGAGAGAATGAACATTGATTGTCTAAATATGAATCTATGATCAAGAGCCCTTTGTTTTTCTTATCATTGCTTCCATTTGGTCCCACATTTCATTTGGAACCTGAAAGAACAAACAGATGAGGAATTTGAGCACTTGATCAAGTGCAAATGGAAAGAGGGGGGAAACATTTAAACATTAAAATACCTTTACCTTTCTAAATTCATTAAATTCACCAGCCATAGAAACATACTCTCCACCATCAAATACAACAACCTGCAGTGAAAACACACATCTTGTCAACTTTCCCCCATCTATGAGTTTTTAAAGAGTTTTGTATGCTCTGCCCTGAGGTCCAACCGCTTATCCTTCTTAATACCATTTTGAACAGAAAAGAAACCCCTCTCATGTACTTCTACTGCCAAATGGTACCCCTTTCATATCCCTAGAACTTCACTTCCCTTACTGCTCACTTTATTTCAGTCTTAAAATGCATCTCATTTTAAGCCTTTTTATAGACCAAAATGACAGATTTCCCCACCCATTCATATACTTCAACTAGTGAAGCCCCTACCCTTTCATATACCTGAAGCCTGAAAAATGAACCCTTTTTCGGATGGAGCCTTCCCGTATAGGCTGTTAAAGAGAGTAACACTCCCCTGGGCTTGCACTTGACCACTATTATGTGTTGATATTGCAAAAAAGTTACCTCTCCTGTTATCCAGCTGGAATAATCACTAACAAGGTATGCTGCAAGGTTGGCTAACTCTGGGATTTCACCGAGTCTACCGGCAGGGATGCGTTCGGTGACTAGTTTTCGAAATTGTCCAGTGGGATCCAAACGGCTAAAAGCACCCTGAAAACACCAAGTGTCAAGAAATTACAGTCAAGTATTTATAAATCCAAGTACAGTCAAACCCCATTAATACATTCACTGAGGGGGGCATTGAAAGTGTCCCTGTTAAGGAGGTGTCCGTATTAAGGGACTTGTCAGAAATTAGCAGGGGGGAGGGAGTGGGGGTGGAAATTTTAAATTTGGGTTCGGAAATGAGGTAACCCATCCCTGCTATGGGAGTGAAATTTGCTAACCCTCCCCTTGACCTTGGCCTAAAATATCATGACCCTCCCCCTCTAGTACAATGATAAAATCTAGGGCTTGCAATACACTAGGGTGAGTCAGTATTATGAAAGTGCAAAATATCTTTCTAATCTGTTCTTTGTAATGCCATATACATAGATTTTAGATGACAGCATTAAGAGTCCGACTCCGATTCTGACAGCTGATCACTTGACTCTCCTATTTCTCACAAGTTTTTTTTACAAAGTAAAGAACTTCTTTTTTCTTCTGTGGGTGAACCTCTACATGATCACGGACACATATTTGCATGACCCTTCCCCTTTTAACAGCCCATTTTTCATGACCCCTCCCTTTTCTGCAGTCTCAAAAAGTTGTGACCCTCCCTCTGTTTCCACCCCCCCCCACCTGCTAATTTCTGACAAGTCCCTGAGCAGCTTGAATTGAGAGAAAATGTAAGGAAGGGCTTTTCCCAGGGACAAAGCAAACTGAAAAATGAAATAATCTGCAAGTAACCGTGCTGAGGGATAGAGAAAGGGGTGTTCTCAGCTTGAACTTTCTCTGTCTCCATAATATTGAAAATGCTTTGTCTTTCATAACAGTTGAGTCTGTGATGATTGATAACAGAGAGACATAGTCCACTGGCAGAGACATGTACCAAAGAATTTCAAATAAATAGCGCTGACAGGTGAAAGTAATGGCTACCTATTTAACATAAATGTCCAGACTTTGCTCACTGGAAGTAACTTAAAGAACTTAACAGGTTCTCTAACAACTCTGCAAATTGTTACCAAAAGAAGGCAAAATCATACTCAAGATTTATTTTTTAATGTAGAGACTCTTAAAACAGCCAAGTGATTTTCTTAAGACACAAAAAGAAAAAAATTGCCTCGGTGTGCCTCATCCTAGCTATGACCTTGCAGTGCAAATGCAGCAATATGATTATTATAATATTGATACATTTGTGTTTGTTATCAAGTTAACTGAATTAACAGTCATTACCTTTGTCTCAATAGGACCTGGTGCAATGGCATTAAACCTCATTCCATATTTTCCCCACTCTGCTGCAAGTGATCTAAAAACGAACATAAATCTGAAATGTCATGTTCAACAAAAAAATAGAACACCTGATCGCAGGTTACGTTTCACTGGGGTGATCTAAATCAGGATATATATAAAAAATATATCAGTGATCCAGGATCACTCAGATCATGAAACGTCAAAGGAAACCACTAATCGTGCCTGGGAAAGGACTGATCGGTTCATTTGATTTACCATTAACCTGCGATCAAGCGATTTAGAAAAAAAAAATCGCCTGATCGCAAGTTAATTTACCATGATCTAAGTGATCTTAGATGACTGATCCTGATTTGATCATTCCAATGGAAAGTACTCTTAGTTGAGTTTGGCATGAGCTGTGTAGTGTCTTTCATCTTTTTGGGCATCTTTTTTTATTTCATTCTCCTATCATATAAATGAGTGTAAAACTGTTTAATCTGGTGAAAAACTATTTTGCTTGGATGCATGATGACAAAAGAGAACAATACAACAGTGAGATTACTACCTGGTCATTGTTTCTACTCCAGCCTTAGCAGCTGCTGATGGTACAACATACCCAGAACCTGACTTGGCATAAATGGTGGTTATAGCCAGAAAGTTTGCAGCTAAAATTGGGTTAGAGATAAAGCATTCATGCAGTCAAAACACTGGAACTTATAGGCGAGTCAGAAGCCCTCCTGGTCATCTAAAAGCTTTCTCAAAGTGGCCAGTGTCACTTACTTTACCTAGGGCAGACAGCTTGTTTTCAAATAAGCATCTCATGCCATACAGGCAACTGGCTGCAACCTTTGATTTTGAAAGCAGAGAAAGACTGAGGAGAGCATGTGGAATTTTGCAGACAATGGAGTGAGGATAAGAAAGGAAAATTTATATTAGGGATGGTGAGGAGTGGCCTGTACCCTACAACTTCTCAACCCACAACCTGTGTAAATTCTAGTGCTTATATGTGCCCTCCAAACGCTTTTACTAGAGTGGAATGAATCCAGCCAACAACATAGTTGAATGCTTTTGACCAATTACACAGACCTGCACATGGGTCTTATCTTTTTTATGAGAGAGTACCTCTCTCCGTAAGTAGCATCCCTGCAGACATTCCAGTCTTAGGGGTTGACAGGATTGCGTGATAAGCCAAAAGAATGTCTGTGTGAGAGGCTACCCCCCAAACAACATTTCCTGCCTCCAAGCTGAGGGTGCAAAGCCTAGAGGGTGTTCTCCATAGTTACAAAAGTTGTAACCCTATACGAGATGCACTGTAGTTTTATTCTTCGCTTATATTTAAATGTGCTATTTATAATATTTATTTTCATAAAATTATCCAGATGGTATCCAAAATCAGCAAACCTTTTTGTGCTTTGATAAGCCTCTTTCCAATGTCCAATGTCACATAAGCAGTGCCATTGAGTACAATATCAATCACAGTTTTCCATGCATTTGCTGACAGTCTTTCAAATGGGGATACAAAATTCCCTGCGGCGTTATTGATGATAATGTCAGGGAGACCACACTGTTTCTCACAAAAGTCGATGGCGGCAGCCACTTGAGATGGATCTCGTACATCTGCAACAACTGGTAAAACCTGAAAACTGAAGCTAGGTTACTTAACGGTGTGAGGAATACCAATCTTATAACCAGATCTACAGTTTAATATTACAGTTTTCTGCAATAATTTGGTCAATTATACACAAGGGACTATGCACATACAAAGTCAAATCTCCACTAATGAATGACTTTTTACAATGGCCACTCTTTGTTAAAAGCCTTTTGATATAAGGTACAAAAAATATTGGAAAATTATATGTGGAATTTCTAGGAGGTCACATAATGCAGCAGAAAGGCTCCACTGAATTAAATCACGCATCCTTAGAGAGGACTTCACTTAGACTTCTTTATAGTGTTGGTACATCACAGTTTTTTTGTCCCAACAAATTCTCTCCTCTACTACACAGCAATTTTTCTACAGACAACAGTGGTCATTTACCTACCTGTCACCAAGGGACATGTTGTGGAGAGGTTTTAACTGTATTTTTCCTCAAATGGATGACCTACGCGTATACTCTATGGACTCTATATAAGGCACCCTAAAATGTTGCTAAATTTAATTTAGGTGAGGTTAAACACCAGACAGACAATGCTGGCTAGCGGTCTCCATCAATAATCATATAATATAATATGGCGTGATCTTGGGCTTTTGCAGTTCTGTAGCACTTTTGCTGAAGTCAATCATTTTCATTATGTTGCTTTCACAAGAAGTAATTCTAGCTGTTTTTGCTCCTAGCCCTCCCTTCTCTTCTCATGTTTTTTTGGTAAGTATCTGCGCATTTCTCCACCGAGGTTCTCATTGTGATGGCGCCTGGTTGGTGCCACTCACGAGGTTGTCATGGTTACCTTCTGTTCACTTGTTGCTCCTTTCTGTTTTACCAGGCACCTTCCCCACACCCATCTATTTTTGACAGGTTTGAAACCCAAAATAAGCAGCCAGTCACTCCATTAATAGTATTTCTTTTCTTCCTCCATCACTTTAATATTTTTATTAAATAGTTCAAGGATATCACAGGCAGGCCTTTTTTTCTCACTCTTTTTGTTTAAAGGATCAAATTGCAGAATTGTGAAATGGCAAAAATTAATGTTATAGGCTTACTTTATTTCCTGTCTCTTTGGAAATTTCCTCAGCTGTCTTTTCAAGGACTTCAAGTTTCCTACAATAATAAATATTGTATTAATTACTTTAATCTATTAAATACTCCCATTTTTGGTCCTTTTCCTCTTATGTAATTTTCAAGTTTTTCTTTATCATCACTTTTGAAAATTGACACTGTGAACACGAGTCCATATAGTCTATATTTACCCAATTTTTCTTGAGTTAAATGCATGAGATTTTCGCCTTTTAATGTCTAGAATTTCCAAAAATGTTCCTACGACTTCCAGAGATTTCCGATGATGATCTAAAGATGTCAAACGTTGCCAAAAATGTCCCAAGATGTTCAGATGACCTTTGAGCACTTCTGAAGTTATTTAAAAGGCAACAATATACACTTAATGTCAGATCCCAAGGGAAACAGTTAGTTTTGTTTTCCCTCGAGTCCTGATGTTTCCCTCGACTTCGTCTCGGGAAACATCAGGACCCTCGGGAAAACAAAACTAACTGGTTTCCTGAGGGATCTGACATTAAGTGTTTTGTTATATTTCTAGAACTTTCACTTCAACAGCAACAAAAGAATAACCGGAGCGAACCAAAACGAACCAAAACAGTCGACTCGGTACTTATAACAACACAAATTTAATTCTCAAAACCACTGAATGAATGATTTACATACAAAAGTACTTTCCTTATATCATCTGCATCTTTTTCCTCCACTAGCTGCTGTTTTTGTTCGACTGGGAACTTCTGGGATAACTTTAAAAATGGTTGCTTTTTAGCTTGAGGCTTCGTGATTGTGTTGTTGTGTTCATTCACGAAAAAGAAAACTGGCAGGACCTGGCGGTGTTTTTCCCGCCTTCTGTCACGCCACTTTCCACCATGCTTTGATCACTTGCTGCAATGTATCCCGAGCGGGATACATTGTTTAATGTATCACGATTGGGATACATTTGATTTTAGTCAAGGCCACGTGACCAAGAATCAACCAATGGCAGTCCCTGTTTAGTTGAGTGAAATTCTAGGAATATAACAATATTATTTAGTGTGTTGCATGTGATACAGTATGGACACAAAGTCAAAATTAAGGGCCTTTTGGAGTATTTTCAGGGAAAACTGAATAAATATTTATTTGAGCAGAACTGAAGACTTCGTAAAGAATGAATTGCACACGCCATAGCACGTGCAGGAGACAACACTCACGTCACTCGTTCACAATCTAGCAAATCAAAAAAACTGAATTTTCTTATTTGACCTGATCTTGCCTTCGGCTTCAAGAGCAAGAGATCTGGTACCCTGCAAGCAGAGGCTTCATTCTCGCTGTGTGGGCTGGCGTGCAAAAAGTAGCCTCTGCCAACAATCGTTCAAATCTGTCCGGAAATCTGGACAAATAAATTTAAAAAACGGGCTTTTTCCTGTTCTTGACCAGTTTAGAGTTTGCATGAGTGTTGCATAGCAGATCAGAGTTGTCGCAATTATTTTTATTCCCACGAAACGCGCGCCATTTGATGACAGACCTGACCATTAGTTTTGCTTGTGAATCGCGTGATGAATTTTGCGCCTGCATGATAGAAAATTGAACGGTTGTTGGCAGGGGCTACGTTTCACATGCCAGCTCACACAGCAAAAATATAGCCTCTGTTCGCAGGGTAGAGATCTGGGTACGAGATTAAAATAGCCCTTGATGTGTGAGATTAGCATCCTTAGTCTGAAGGTGAGACAGTCAAACATAATGTGTGAGAGTTGGCCTGGTATACAATAACTATCTTTTGTACTGAAAGCTAATGGGCCATAACATCAGCTCGCAGTACAAAAAATAGACTAGGGACTTATTATGTGCTCTGCATAGGACATACATCATTCAATCTGGTTATAGAGACATACCGTAAAATTCCGAAAATAAGCCCCTCCATGTATAAGCCCCTCCAAATATAAGCCCCCAGGGGCTTGTACTTGGAAAATTGCCCTCAAATACAAAGTAAAACAAAGCAAAAATGTTTAATTTACTTCCAACTATAACGCTAGCCCAATCGATTTTGAAACGCAAATTTCTGTCCATAGATAAGCCCCTCCAAAAATAAGCCCCTCAAAAAGGGCCTTTGAAAAATGTAAGCCCCGGGGCTTATTTTCGGAATTTTATGGTATGTCTCTGATCAGAAATAGTATAGGGATAGAAGTAGTCCGGGCACAAAATAATGTGACATCCTTAAATTCCAGATAATTTCTTAATATTTTGTTGCACCCTAAAAGTGTGGGGGAGGGGTAGGGTTAAAGGTGGGGGAAGGACAGGGGGTCCAAACCTCCCATCTCCCATATCTTGCATATTTCCCAGCTCCTGCACCTATTTTCTCGGCTTCCTCCCTTTAACCCTTTTTTCACTTCCCACCCGTTTAAAGCTCTTACCACCCACCTGCGGCCCGGCCTCCTGCCCCCTATTCGCACGGGTTCCCACTCCCCATCGGGCATCCTTCCCAACTGACTTACGAGGGGATGTTAAGGGAAAGTTCATTTAATATGACAAGGAGGGGGGATGAAGATATTGAAACTCGAAGCTTGAAATTTTAGCAGCCCTCCTCGCTAGCGGTTCAATTTTTTAGGAGCCCCCTCCTTGGAAGTCTAAAAAATTTCAGAGCCCCCCCCCTCCTGCTTCAATTCCTTTGCTCCCCTGAAGAAAGATCGCTAGACTGTATTAAATATATTAACCGTTATTGTCTTCAATGGTTTATACTATGACAAACTTGAGATACAGTTGTGATACAATTTTCTAAAGCATTTTTGGGATGAACAAGAGTGTAATAGTTACTGAGACTAGATTTGTTATATCTGTAAACCACGTGATATAGCTGAGTTGCACAGGTCATTAAATTGTTGAGTTGAAAACCATCCGATCTGTATGATGATGTCATGCCGATCATGTGTTGGTTTTGAAGTATACAAATTTTCGGAGCCCCCCCTCCTAGCGCAACAATTTTTTCAGAGCCCCCCCTTCGGGTGTCTAAAAATTTTCCGAGCCCCCCCTCAATATCTTCATCCCCCCCCTTGTCATATTAAATGAACTTTCCCTAAAGATCCTAAAAATGCCTCTGTATCAAACTTCTACTATATATAGTAATTTCAACAACATTAATACAATAAAGATACCTGCTGGATATCACCACAGTTGCACCACGTTCAGACAGCATTTTTACCATGCCTTTTCCCAAACCTGTACCACCCCCGGTAATAAAAGCCGTCTTGCTCTTGAAGCAGTCTTTGGGTAACATACAATCACTTCGAACGGGAAAACTGCTCCCATTTGAAAGGTAATTAGTATTTAAGCTGAAATTTCTAGTGCTCTTCAATTTTCTCAAGAGCGAAACTTGATGCCCAAATGAATTCGAACTTGTTCTCGTTCCTAAGATTAGTCGACGAGCCGCCATCTTTGAATTACAATACGTGTACTGAGGGGGACCCGGATAGATGATGAGTTCAGGGCGGAAAAACGTAATGAGCATGCGTGAACTTTTTTGCCCAGATCCCCTGGCCGGGTTTGAAAAAATGGCGGGATTTCAAATATTTTATTGCCTAAAAATAAGATGTTTCCACTCATAACCTGGAAAGAACAGGCAATTTGTCTTCAAAAGTTGCAAGCTGTGGTTATAATCTTGTCGTTACTTAATTTTCTCGAAGAATACCTCATAGCAAAACGGACTTTAACGACATCAATTTCCTTACGTTGTACTGGAAATGTGCATGCGTAGGTCCGATTTTTTCAAGATGCATTCACAAAATGTGTTCATATAAGGAAGTTCCTGGATATATAAGGTCCGGAGCTCCACTGTGGACACAAAAACAACATATCTTTGGACAGTGATTTGCCCAAAAAAATTAACGCTTGCCCACAATGTGTTTGAAGGCACTGAACTTGTGGCACTCGAGCTGATATTTTAAAACCCTCGCTCGATCGGACACTCGTAGTTTCGCAGATCACTAAAATATAAACAAAATCCTCAATGTAGAAGTTATTGCGTTGATATGCGGGCAGAAAAAAGGTCAATCTTTATCTAGTAAAATCTTCCCAAAAATCGGTTTTAAAGCAAGTATAGTTTATTTTTAAACTTGATCGATTCGCATACAAAGAGATAAATATAAATTATGCTTTGTGTTGTCAAGTTGAAAATGCATAACATCTGTCAAAAACCTACACGTAAGTAGGATTTCCGTCAAACAAAGTTAAAATTACATTATTGCAAAAACTTCTTGCTGACAATGAAGAAATGAATTTTTTGTACGAAAACAACCTACCTAAAGATCTTAAAAGCAAAAGATCAGTTGCAGTGACCTTCGCAGCTAAACCATGATTCACCATGTAGCTCTTCTCCTCGCTTTAATAACTCAGTGAATAACTGGTCCATGTGAGGGTCTTCATTCAAGCAAATTAATTAAACTCAGCCAATCGTTACAAAATTCAGAAAACTGCACATAAGGGTATTTGTTTTGCTCGCTTCAGACAAATCCAGCTCCAACAATTCAGTGTTACGGGCAGAGTCAATTGTTTTGAAGTGACTGCCGGCAGTTGTCCTCTACTTCACAGCTAGTGAAATTTAAAATTTGCGTACAGAAAGTTATTTCTTATAAAGAACAGAAACTTTCACAGTGCAGTGGAAAACAAAACTATGTAATTAAAAGTGAAGAAAACTCTGACTACTTATAGTATTTGAGCAACAGAAAAATGATTCTTTTCTTCTAGAGTAAGTTTACTGGCCTTCTAGCGGGATTTCCGAGAAAGTTTTACGGCGCACAAAATGGTTCTTTGACTGAAGAGAAGGATAAAGCTGGTTCTACAAAGGGAATAAATCTGGGCATGTGAAAAAGTATTTACTAATTTTAAAAAAAAGTGGGTTTTAATTCAGCCCGGCGAAAGAAGGCGAAATCACAACTCACAAATAAATCGAATGAACAATCAAAAAATACTCGCCTCTTTGGAAATGTTCAAAACTCTTTATTCCACCTCAGACTGACGGAATGATCCGTTTTTCCTTTAACACTGGTTGTTCCGAGTCCAAAGTAATTTTCAAGTCACGAAAAACAAAAACCACACAAAAGTAAAAAGGCTTTTCGAGGAGCAAACGTTCACACCTTGTGCATTTCATTCAGTCTTAGTCAGAACTCTCTCACATGCTCAACACAGTCAATACACAGAAAAGCCCGCCTTGAGCCTGCGATAAAGGATGCGCAGAAGCTTGCGCAGAACGTTTTTCCGCCCTGAAGATGATGAGTGACCAGTTAATCCCCAGTCACGCTCATTATTTTTTCCAATTATCCACTGTGAAACCCGTTGTAACAACTCTTGAAAATGTGAGAACATTTCCAAATTCTGGTGTCCTCATCTGCCCGAATCCAAACTAAAGTTCGAGGAATTGGAAGGTAAGGTACGTTTTACAGCAGTGGAATTAATGGAGAGAAGAATTCGAATGACGATAACTAGTTCTCAAAGAACTTGAATGACTCAGCTCATGACTGCTCTTCTAAGAACATGGATCCATATCGCCTGAAACTTTTGGCACTGTCAAACGAGATCACCGAACGAGAACTTATTGAATTAAAGTTTATATGCAAGCAGCATATTCCTGTCGGAGTACTTGAAAGAATTCAAAGACCCCTTGAGTTGTTCGACGAACTTGAAAACAGGAATTTGTTGAGTCCGGATAACAAGGAATTTTTGGCCGCCATATTCGCTGGAATCAATCGTCTGGAATTGAGAGCTGATCTTTTGGGTAAGAGTGTAACCCTCTCAAAATAAATAACAATGTATTGTATTGTATTGTAGTTGCAATAAAAGGCTTTAGTCGTAAATTAATTCATTTTGTAAGGGATTTGTTTTCAGTTGCCTGATCGGCGGCTGTTTTTGGTGCATTAAGAGTCAAACTTGAGGGCAAGCTGTCTTCGGGGGTCTGAGAAGGAGAAATAATGCATATAACGTTTTAATCAAAGGGTGCCTAGAATCAATATTTGATTCTCCTCATTACAATTCAACAACAGTAAACACTGCCGTTTTTATTGAACAAAGTTTTAAACATTTCATTTTCAGAATGATATTTCCCTAAAAACCATGAGATTGGGAGTCTTGTCGTGAGAAAAGCACAAAAAAAAAGAAATCTTGAGACTCACAGCAGAATAGTGAGCTTGGACCAGCTTGGGAGTAGAAGAGCGAGTGCTGATCTTTTAGTCATGTTTATCACCTTGACTGGTCAAAAAGCTTCAAAAGTTCTTCAACTTCTGTCTCAAAGTTAGCCATAGTCCTAATTTGAAACGTTAAAAGTCCACATGAAGAGAACTTATTGTCCTCTGAAAGGTACAAAATCATAACAACAAAAGCTCTGGGCACAACTGTACGCTCAGCAAGTCTTGATCGCGAAACATGTACAGGAACAATCGATCTATGACAGTTATCCTTTTGATACTGACTAATTACGAAAATGTCCACACCTGAGTGTATACCTGCCAACTTTTTCTGAGATATAAGCGTGAGATTTTTATCCTGGGAGTGCTGGGATTTTTGAAGGCGACACGATCATTTCCGAAGATTCCCGAAGACGTCCGAAGTCTGCCGAAGGCGAAGTTATCGAGAAAACGCTTATCCAAAACATCAGAGATCGCGAGGAAGGTTTTACACATGGTTTTCGTTCCTTACATGGGTCTGAGTTAACATATTTTTGGAAATTGTGTCAAGCAAGACGGCAACAACTCACATTTTTCAATCAGGCGTGAGAAATTGGCCCGCAAGCGTGAGCCGGTGTGAGATCGAAGTTTTCAACCCGCAGGCGTGAGAGTTGGCAGGTATATGAGTGACACATTTTCATATTGCAGTGCCCACTATAACTTGTTCCTTACACTACGCATAATCCACAAGTTGAAAAGTGCTCTTCACTCTAAGCGATTTCCCCTTTATCAAAATTAATGTTTTGGATTTCCTTAATGTATACCACACACACACACTGTTCGTCACTAATAGAGTGCATGGGTCACAAGGTTTGGGAAATTGTCCCCACATCATTATAGGGAAGCAAGCAAGACGGCAACAACTCACATTTTTCAATCAGGCGTGAGAAATTGGCCCGCAAGCGTGAGCCGGCATGAGATCGAAGTTTTCAACCCGCAGGCGTGAGGCGTGAGAGTTGGCAGGTATATGAGTGACACATTTTCATATTGCAGTGCCCACTATAACTTGTTTCTTACACTATGCATAATCCACAAGTTGAAAAGTGCTCTTCACTCTAAGCGGTTTCCCCTTTATCAAAATTAATGTTTTGGATTTCCTTAATGTATACCACACACACACACTGTTCGTCACTAATAAAGTGCATGGGTCACAAGGTTTGGGAAATTGTCCCCACATCATTATAGGGAACCCCCTGTTAACTCTTAGGGACCTAGTGAATTCCTGCTTATGATTGGCTGGGAAAATGTCTCTGGGTTTGAGAGAAAGGGTGTATACGTTACAGGTCAAAATGAAATTCAAGTCTGGATTTTTTTGTCTCTTAGCCCTACTTATTGATGAATTAGGGCTAGGAGATGAAATTGGGAATCAACCTAAGTTTAAAAATTTGAACCAGAATTTAATTTTGATCTGTAACATAATTATGTACAGTGTAGGTCTAACCAGTAGCAGACATAATGTGATATAGTAATGATGTTTATTACAGGTCAGCCAAGAGAAGGCAGTAGCTCTCCTCTGACTCTGTATCAGCAAACATTATTTGACCTGTACAAGGATATCATTGGTTGGCTTCAGCCTCTTACATGGAACAAATCATTTCTTATCCACATCAAGCACATTTACACCAACCTCCAGATGATCACTCGGAGACAGACCGGGCGAGTTACAAAGCGAGAGCCCTTGGAGACGTATGTTGAAATCTTCAATACTCGGCCAGGTTCCTCCAAGATGAGGCGCATCCTCATAGAGGGACAGGCAGGTGTTGGAAAGAGTACATTTGTGTCACTTATGGTGTATGACTGGGCTTGTGCTAGTCGAAATTTGCAGCATTTTAAGCTTGTTCTGTTTATGGAGCTTAAGCAAATGAAAGGGAATTTGAAGAATGATATCTATGAGCTGCTTTTCCCGAGAGACTTTTACTATTCAGCAGATCACCTTTTCCAGTATATCACTGCCAATCAAGAAAGTGTTCTCTTTATCCTTGACGGTTATGATGAAGTGAATCCTTCACGGCTGCCAGAAGTAGAAGATCTGATCATGGGCAAGATCTTCCGGAATGCAACAGTTATCGTCACTTCAAGACCCGGGAAAGGATCAAGGGTGCACTGGTTCATGGATTCCCGCATTGAGATCACAGGCTTTACCAGTGAAAATATCCATGAGTTTGTCTTTAAGTACTTCCAAGATGATGCTCCCATGGCTGAGAGCTTAGTTGCTCAACTTGAAATGCATCCTGTTGCAGAGCACATTGCAAGAATTCCACTCACGGCGATGCTCATCTGTGCAATGTGGGAGGAGATGCCTCAAGCAGCATTGCTTTCCTCAGTGACGTCTCTTTTCATTGAGCTAACTCTCTTGCTTGTAAAGAGATACTACTCAAGACAGGATGATCAGAGCAGTTTTGATCCAGAAAATCTGTGCTCATTGGAAGACATTCCAGATGATCTCTTCCAAAGTTTGCTATCATTGGGTGAGGTTTCACTAAACGGATTGCTGAATGACGAGTTACTTTTTGATCTGCAGAGGCTTGAGAAAATTTGTACCAACAAGGGTGCACTGGACATTGGATTCCTCTCAAAGGAAGCTGGATCATCAAGGCTCAAGCCAGTCCAGAAATGCCGTTTTTCACACAGATCTTATCAGGAGTTTCTGGCCGCCCTTTGGTTGAGCCACAAAATCAAACAGGCTTTGAAAGATAGGTCAGTTTTTGAAGATGTCAGTATTTACATCATGAACTGCCTATCATCGGAACTGAACCAAGTTCTGTTTTTGTTCACTCCTGGATTACTTGGAGATGGATTCCAACCTTTCTTTGAGCTCTTGTTACAAGAAGGAAGTATGGAAGTTGTGGAGAATGAAAGCTTGAAGCAGTCATTCTTTGAAGTTTGTTTGATTTCTCTGTACGAATCCAATCAAGGGCACTTAGCATACAAGCTGGAACCCCAGATGCCGTGGGGCATTGTTGAGCTTCATCACTTTAATGCCACGCCGTACAAGCTGAGAGCTCTGGTGTACTTCTTGTCCAACAGCCATTCAGTGACCTCGTTAGAGTTGAATGACAGTCGAGTGGATGCCAAAGCTCTTCAAGTACTGGCAAGATTTCTTCCAGAAATGGTCTCTATCAGAGAGCTGCATTTGACGTCAAGCAGGATTACTGATGCTAGTTTGACTGCATTTGTGAGCTCACTTTCTACCGTGCCACAGTTGGAGAAACTCCAGCTAACAAGCAACCTTATCAGTGAGCATGGCTTAGAAATCCTCATCTCAGCCTTTAAGGATCTTCCAAACTTGCGACAACTGGATGTCCAAGGAAACAGGATTGCCGAAGCTGGGTTTGGCGCTTTAGTCCCTGCGATTGCACTCCTGCCAAATCTGGAAGAGCTGTCTCTTGGAACCCCTGTGCTCCATGATGAACAACTTCAAGCAGAAGCAGGTTAAATTAATTTAAATAACTTCATATTTAACTGTACCTGCCTACAATCTCAGACAATGCTGACAGAACATCTGTGTTATAGACAGTGGTCCCCAATGTAACCACCACCCTGTATATTCAATGACCTCACTATTACAACTGCACTCTTTTGCCCAAAATAATGTAAAAACAATGAGCCACTTTTTTGATCCAAAACCTTGATTACATGGTGACCTTGCTAAAAAATGTTAGCAGATTTTCATGGCCCTTGAAGAGTCCCATATACAGAGTTTCATTCCACAGTTAAAATATTTAAAGTAATAATTTGAAAAATATTTCAAATTTTGTTTCAAGGTGAAAAGGCTCACCCAACAGCTGAAGGCGAATGTGCGACCACTTTGAGTGAGGAGACATTCATATCATTAATGAAGGCTGCTCATTCTCATTGCACTCTTAAAATTATCAAGTGAGTACTCTGATTTCTAACCATGTTTTCTCTATGTAGCTCCCAGTCTGTAATGAGACCCTCCCCATTTCTAATAGTTCCCCAGTCTGAAGCACCAAAAATGAAATAAACCAGGGGTGTTATTCCTTTTTAAAGCTGCATAGCCTCCCAAGGATATGTTTGAGCCATTTTGGTCCAAAATGGCTCATAGATTTTACCCATTGTCATCTGAAATAGGGTATTAAGGTTTGCACTAGAATCAGGTATGGATATAGAAGATGCAGCTTTTTACTTTTATTCACTCCTTTAGGTATGTGCTTTGATTAATTTGAAGCATGTCTCAGATGATGATGCATACAAATTGTAGCAGCTGTTTGGTACACTGGAGCTGGGAGCACTAATATTAATTTGCCATTGGATTTTGTTTAAATAATATACCTGTTAAAAATCTCTCTTTTTCAGGCTCAGTCAAGGTGCAGTTCCAGAAGGGAAAGATCCAGCTGAGTTTGAATGTCTTAGAGTTTCATAAAAGCTGCGCAACTTCAATCTATCCTCACTATACTTTGCAGTTCTGCTTGATATCAGATGCGATTAACAAAGGATTGTACTGTGAACTCACAGTCAATTTTGTGGTAGTCATCTACTAGTAAAATTGAAAATAATCTCTATGAACAGTGTAATATTCCCAATTTTAAATTATGTATATTTCAGTGTATCAATTTAGGAAAAGCGGTGTCAATGGCTCATTACATCACTTGAAAAACACAATACCTTCATTTATTTGCGAGGGGGTACTTCCTATAATGCTCAAAAGGGGGATATTTTTCAGGTTTATGGTATACATTGTATGAAAAGCTAGGGATTTATTTCACTAGTTGTAGTATATGAAAGGGAAGGAAAATCTGTCATTTCAGTCTGTAAAAGGCCCAAAAGGGCTAACAGATTCATTTTGTGACTTTGAAAAAGTTGAGAAAACATTCTGTTTTTGCGAAGCCCCCCGGTGTAAAATTTTCCTGAGTACCCCTCGATTGATTTGTAGTATAGAAGAAATAAACTTTAATTAAAATTTAATATTTAATAAAGGCCCAATCAGGGAACCTTAAAATGAAGCAAATTCCATAATTATAAACCCAAATTTAGTAGGTCAAAAAGCAAGTTTTTCTATTTGGTAGAAATTGATTCTGTCCATTGTTTTGTGGCAAAGTTGTATCAAAGTAGGCGTATGCCAATTAAAATACTCCTTGTAAATAACTACTATTAAGACATCTGTGGTATATTTGTCAGCCATTTTTGAGGGGGGTGTGGGGTGTATGAATGATGGGGGTTTAATAGAAAGGGGGAGCTTGCTTGTCGTTTTGCGCTCTAGCCCTCCCAAGGCCTTTGACTGTCTCCCACATAGGCTTTTGCTAGTTAGGCTTAAGGCCTATGGTCTGTCTGAGGATAGCGTTCTACTTATGGAAAACTATCTTTCTGACAGGTTTCAGAGGGTTAAAGTTGTGGACACCTTTTCAGAATGGTTAAGGGTTGTCAAGGACGTCCCCCAAGGATCAGTGCTCGGTCCCTTGTTTTTTAATATTTTCATGAATGACATTATGCATACTTCCTTTCATTCTTATGTTAGTTTCATATGCTGATGACATACAATTTTTAAAACTGCTTTCAATGCCATTGAGATTCAGCAGAGAATGCAGGCTGAGCTTGTTTCAGCCTCCAAGTGGTTTGAGACCAGCACCATGTGTCTCAGTTTTAATAAACGTCACACCAGGCGGTTGGGAGATGGTGCATGTAATCTTCTGCATTATCTCGATGGCAAAAGTATTGAAATCTGTCATTCAATGAAGCTTCTGGGTGTCACTATTGATAGTGACCTCAATTAAGACGGACATGTGTCTGAGCTTATTTGCAATGTCATTAACAACTGCAAGTGTTAGAGTGCCATAAACATCTCATTTCTACGTGTGCTAAGAAACACTTGTATGATGCCTCAGGGGCGGATCTAGGGGGAGGGTGCAGGGGGTGCGCACCCCCCCTCCCCTGAGATGACCTGCGGTTTTCTAATACAACTGGTATTCTGCAAAAAAAGAAAAACTATGTGTTTATTGGTGTTGAAGTAGAGCAAGAGACAAGTGCACCCCCTCCTAAAAAAGATCCTGGATCCGCCCCTGTGCCTTTCTTCTCTCTTGCCTCAACTACTGCCCAATTATTTGACATTATTGCAGCAAGAGAAACAGTGACAAACTTGAGTGGATCAACGAGAGCTGCATGTGTTTTATTTTTAATGACCGCCATAGTTCCTATGATAAACTTGTAGATAACATCAATCGGCCTAGCTATGCTCCCAGAGGTACTTAGAACTTCTGAGGCATTACATGTTTTGAAATCAAAAATTAAGAGCATTAGCTTTGATAATAAATGTGGCTCCTTCTGTAATTAGTTTCAATTATCACTAGTTCCTGTAGTCACAATGTATAATATTTTTCTTGTCTACGTTATCTTAAATTTGTACATAATATATTTAATAGTAGTATTACTTTATTCTAATTACCATTTTCATTTATTTTCTATTTGTTTTGCTTTTCCTTCGGAGATATTAACATAAGTTTATGCTATCTTTGGAAATTCCAAGTGAAATAAAGTTTTTGATTGATTGATTGATTGATTGTCAGAGTGTTAGGCATCACTACTCCCCTCCACCTCCCCCTCCCCCCAAAGTAACATCGCCATTTTTTAGCAACTAATCTTTCTTTAGTTCCTTTGAGTGTGTTCGATCTGAATTCATTCGATAGGATTTTTTCTGAAACAATTTTCTCTTCATATAGTAGAGAGGTTAAGAATCACGTTTACTTCAAACGGCAAACTCGGATTTGTACCACGTGACCAAGTCTCTCCCTTTACTTGTTGTCGTTTCCTGTTCATTATTCTACACATAAATTAGTAGTTTCACGCAATTTTTTATCCATCCATAAGAATTGCTTTGAGCTGTTTTCATCTGCTCATTTTCTATTTTGAGAAATTCTCAACTTGAATCTGACGGTTGCAGTATACGTGAAACGTAACCTCTCTAGTGACTGATCCATTAACGTAGCACAAAATATTTTGGCAATTATATAAGGGAAGGGCCCAGTTAGAGAGGAATGGCTTAGTAAAATTTGATTGTTCAAAAGAGAACAGGGCTTTTTGGACAGGGAAGTTACTAGTAAAGAGATTACGCTAGGTGATAAGAGTCATCTGAAAGATTTAGAATCACGTCTAGGCAAACGTGAGATTCAAGTTGACAATTTCTCAAATTAGGAGATGTACGGGTAAAAACTTTCCAAAATAATGAAAAAGAACATGAAACTGCTTATTTAGCTTGTGGATAAAATAAAGATTAAATGGCAAGTAAAGGGAAAACGTGGCCTCGTGGTACGTTTTGACGTTCACAGTTTGCCGCAAACGTGAGTCTAAGTCTCAGTCTCTATTAATCCAATTCGTGACAACGGGTATGTTAGTACCATATTCTGTTTCAATCCTTTGCTAATAGGGATGGGAACATCACTTCGGTCGAAGTGAGAGACGACGTGGAGCGATGAAGGATTCTGTATTAATTTGGCACTGCGCCACCCGAAGATGCGGGGAGGGCTGGGTAGGTAGCAAATTCTGTCCCTCCTACGGTAACTTGCAAAAGACGCTTTCTTGATTTCAAATTAACTGTTAAACCTTAACCGATTAATAGAGAGGTGGGAGAAATCTCGATTAACTGATAGGCGGCATTCGAAGTGCGAACTATAGCATAATTATGGATTCCAACAGAATATGAATATTCAAATGACTTTGAATAGCAAGTGGGTGATTAGGACGTAACACATCAGAGAACTAAAGTTATTTGTTAGACCAAGAGATCTTGTGATCTCTTGGCTAGACCAAAATATATGAGGAACCATAACAATTGAAGTAGACGAGTCCAGTAAAGATTAACCACATTTTGTATTAATTAAAAATACATTTATTTATCCTTCATTTGACTGAAACTAGTAAAGATAAGCGATGAATTTCTTCAACCTACAAAGTAAGACTAACGTTAAATGACAGGGAGACAGCCTGGTCAAGCGATCAGTGCTACGGACTTGTAAAATGCCCTTTGCAGCTAGTCATTCACGTGGTACAAATCCGCCTTGCCGGAGAGCAAAAGTTGCACTGGGACAAGACAAACAAAGAAAACTACCATTTAGAATTATGTATGTATTTTATTTCTCTTGTCCCAATGCGACTTTTGCTCTCCATCGTGGAAGTTTTGCACCACGTGAATGGTTAGCTGCAAAGGGCCTATTTAGATGTGGGGGGTTCAGTCCGCCAGGTACCTTAGTGACGTAGTTTCTCGATCGTCCCGAGTTCACCCAGAAGCCGATTAATAGTAATCGGCTCAATGCACGGCAATAAATAGCCGACTGGTTCGGCTCCACTTTTTTTTCGAGTTTTTTACACCGCAGCGGTTGTATACAAGATTATATCTTATATTTTAAAGAAATATGCCAGTTCCGAGTTCCAAAAACCCTCGCTTTCAAAATGAGGCTAGGTGCACAACCTTTCTTGTGAAAATGAGTTTTATTTGCATGAGAATGAAAAATGATTTCCATATCAAAGGCTGTGCACCTACCCTCGTTTTGAAACAGAGGCTCGGGGGAACTCAGAAATGGCCTATTATTCTGAGTAAATGTACAAAATAATAATCAGTTTATTAAACCCTTTGGTAGTGTATAACACTAAATTACAAGGGCAAAATATCGCCTTTTCAAAAGAAAAAAATCACGAGGCCCATTAGTCCTTCTATCTTATCATGCTAGCAGCCATCGTTAACTACTTTGTTTTGTGTGAATACCCAAGCGCGCGTGAAAGTTTACCACTATCGTAGCCTACTTAACTGGTTGTGTACAGGATTTACTACGCAAGGAATTTTCGCGAGCGGTGACTTGCTCCCAATCTTCACGCGGCTCTGCCGGCAAAATTAAAATTACAGCAGTCGCCTTAGACTACGAGTAGTCCCCCGTTTTCCCTCAGGGATAGTAGAGAGATTAAGATTCACGTTTACGGCATACGGCAAACGGCAAACGGCAAACGGCAAACGGCAAACGGCAAACGGCAAACGTCAGTTTAGAATTTCTCAGAATAGAAAATAAGCAGGTAAAAACAGTCCAGAACGATTCTTGTGGACAAAACTGGCATAAAACTACTTATTTTTGTGTAGAAGCAATAAACAGTAAACGAAAAATAAGGGGAAAACCTGGTCACGTAGTACAAATTCACGTTTGCCGTTTGGCGTAAACATGAATCTTAATCTCTCTAGTAGAGCGAGCGAAACGCGAGCGGGCGTGAAAATCACCCCACGCGAGAAAAGGTGACATGCAGCGTGGGGTGATTTTCACGCGCGCTCGCGTTTCGCTCGCTCTACTATCCCTGAGGAAAAATGGGGGACTACTCGGAGTCTACAGCGACCAGCGAGGAAGACTCAATCTAGTGCCCAGGGACTGCGGGCCAAAAAGCCAAAGGACAGTGAAAGACTCTGGCTACGACATTGATTTTCTCTCTTCCCTCCGCGTGTCACCTTTCTCGTAGTCTGCTACACAGCGTTGTGTGACGACACTAAAAACGGCTGGTGGCCAGAACCTCTTGATCTTTAGAACCTCTAATTTGATAGGTTCTTGTTGGCCCGAAGCTCTATTGTTTCAGAGTTGGGGTTCATTGTTAGTTTTATTTGGGTTAGGGCTATCTATTGTTTTCTAAACCAATCCTATGAGCCGTTCTTAGGCTTCCGGTTGTGTAGCAGACTACCCCTCTTGTAGATACGGAACAAAACAAGCAAGGCTGATTTTACAGTCTGGAATATATATTTCTTTTACCAAAATTTCGGAAGGCACGGCCTTCTTCTTCAGGGTCTTACAGGGTCTTTCTCGTGGATGACTGTTCAGTTCACGTACGCTAGCGTATTTCGTTCTCTCAGCTATCCCTTTGGAAAATGAGGGACCTACACGTGGTCTAGAAATTTCAGTTGCAGCCTCTCTGAAAATAAGATGTGATTTGCCACATCG